AGGAGGATGAGTGTTATGCAATACTTGGATTATGTCAGAACCTTGTTTGACTGTGAACTGTCAAACTGTTCATCTCTGATCTTTATCACCACAACAAGGACATCTGCATGCCTGTGCTTCTGAAACCAGCACACAGCTGAGTCAGCTGTTTGGAGAAGTGCACACTCAAGCCTATCTCTACAGGAGATATATGCATATTGGTAGTATGTTTTTATGAAACACATTTTGAGATGGAAAATGCATTTGCTTTCATTCCTTCTACTATATCTGCTGTTGAGCCGAGTGTCTGGACATTTGAGTCAGACCTTTGTCTAAACTGCTTGTTTGTGAGTCCTATCTGCGAGTATTTAGACACCAGGAATCAATGTGGTCTGTAATGAACGGTTTGTTTGAGAACAAATATAATGGCTTGTTGTAAAACATTTTGGGGGGTCATTTTGTCTTGGATTATTGAAATTGAGAGGAGAGTAAGGAGATGCATTGAGGACTGAATCATCTGTATTTTGGGTGCATGCTTTACCTGCTGAGCTAAATGAGCTATTTAAGACCCGCTATTATATCTTACAGTACTTTCAAAACTCCTGAAAAATGCCTAAAGTTTTCCGGGTTGAGCTACATGTGTGAATGCAAACAGCAGAATTTAGGCTCGGTCAGATATTATCAGGAGAAATCACCTCGAGCAATTGGGAGGAGGGAGTGCATTTATTCCCTGTGATCATTGCACTCGACCAGTTTTTTTTTGTGTTTGTGATTCAGGTGTAACATTACAGCTTGTCAGAATCACCATCACTTCATTTATTCACGAGTCAGATCCACTGTTAAGGGCTTGTTTGTGAGCTGGATCCACCATTAAGATAGGATAAGATACGATAAGATAGTCCTTTATTGATCCCCAGTGGGGAGATTCAAGTGCTGCAGCAGTAAAAGATAACAAGAAGAACTTGCATATGAGTATTAATACATTTAGAATATATAGGAATAAAAATAAAAATAAAGATATGATGTATTTACAACTATTATAAGCAGGATGTCTGTCTGTGATTAAGAAGACAGACTAGGACCCACTGCTGTTGTAAAGTCTGATAGCAGTACCTGCTTGAACTTACGCTGAGCTCCATGTCTTGGTTCTAGCCTTTAGGCCAAGCTCAGCTAAGTTAAGATAACAGCTAAACTGTTGCATGCAGGGAGTAAGACTGGCATCAATTTTCTCATCTTGCTGTAATCAGAAATATTTGTCTTATTGCGCTTTGCTATAAATCATCAGCAGAAGACTGTTTGAAGAAAGATGACTGATGCATTGTTTGATGATGTAATCAGACTTTTTCTGCACATATTGTTATCTCATATAGACATGTTTGCACAAGTCACATGAATGCAGTTTAAAAGCTTGTGCTGTATAGGCGCAACAACAAAAATGTAAAATAAAAAGTGCATGTCAAATTCATGCTCAAAGATAATAAAAAATAAAAATAACTGTTAATGGCTTCACAATAAAACACTGGGTTTAAAAAAGTCCATTATCAGTTTCATTCCAAGTGTATGTGATTTAAACTTTTGAACATGGTTCTTTCTTAAAGTCTGCAGACATGCAAGGAGGATCCTGAACACATAATGAAAGTACTCAGCGTCTTACATAAATATTACAGTAAATTAAACTGTTGACATGTTAATGCAGGCTATGACTGTGAATACAAATACAATGTGTGTGTGTGTGTGTGTGTGTGTGTGTGTGTGTGTGTGTGTGTGTGTGTGTGTGTGTGTGTGTGTGATATCCAACACTATCACCTACTTTTTAGAGTATTCTACATTTTACAGTCCATTCCTTCTTTTTGTTGTTGTTATAAAAACATGTTAACACTTGTGCTTCCAAAACCTGCAACGTGCTGTAACTCTACACTAAAGATCATTTTTCACATTGCAAGAAAAAAAACTTGCAAAGACTTTCAATTTTTGAACATTACTAAAGCAGGGACTTGCCTTGGGCTGGATGTTTTGGCATAAAGAAAAAAGGGATCATTATTTTTGCCGTTTTTGTTACGACAGGGAGCTATTCTTGACATATTTTTAAAAGCAGGAGGCCATGGCTACAGAAATGTGTCTAAATGAGCTGTTTGAGTTTATTCTTAACTTGCACAAGCTGCAGAGTAAAACACAATAGACACACAGAGAAAAACCAGCCCGGGGAGTGGAGGAGTACGCACCAGTGATCATGATGCAATGCCTTGTTGTCTTGCATGCCATGAATTCTCACACAGTCAGCCGCTTACACTGCTGGACCACAAACACGCTGAGGTCTTGTGACAGCAGTCATTTTGGAAGCTTTCCTTTTTTCACACCCTCTCAAACAATTAACCCAAATTACATGCACTGTCCAACCCCCAAAGTTTTAATTGTAAGGACAGATAATAAAACATGATATCTCTGCCTGAGGATCTGCATGTCTTCTTAAACAGTCAATCAATATATTTGTTCCTTTATTTGATCTTTGCTCCTCACAGACAAAGATAAAACAGAGGACCTCACCTGAGCAAACATTTGAGCATTTAAGTTCTGGACGTTGACACGTGCTTCCTTTGAGTGCATGCATGCTCTACAGCACATCACCATCTTGTAACTGCACATCTGTATTTGCAAGATTCCATATTGATGAACACTATCTGATCAAACAACCAAAGTGATATCTGGGCCCCACCTGGCTCTAAACGGGTCAAACTTGTTTTGAGGTTTAAGCTGAATCCTTTGACAGACCATGGTATTTACAGCACAGGGTAAATAACGGTCTCCCACTGAAAGATTTAACATTATGTGATAAAATCTGCAACCATTACCACATCAAATTTACCAATCAATCTCCCCACTACTGAAGGCAGATAAATTCATATGAAAATATATCAAATGCATGTGTTCTGCAGGGAGGATATGACGCACTGTCATTGCTTAAATTTTCTTCATTTGCAAAAGTCTTTCCAGTTGATAACAATGAACTACAAAAAGTCAATCTTGCTGGAATTTTCCGGCAGAAAATCAATGCAATCAATAACAGTCTCCAAAAAAAAAAACCCTGATAACTGCACTGTGTACTGAAAACCAGATCATTATTGGCTGCCATTTTCTTAAGTTACAATGTCGGTTCTAAAATACAGAGGTAATTATAAAAAACATATTTTAAAATGTACATCTATATGCTTTGAATAGTATAGAAAATAAAAGCCTACATGTTTTTGATAGGGACACTAAACTACCCAATAAGAAAGAAACTCAAGATGGATTGTAGTAATTTAGTATTCCACTAGGTCTATGCACAACAACTAAATAAATCAGATTAAATCATTGGAGGGAGATTTGGCATTACAATCTTTGATTATCTCAAAATGCCAAAAAGAAAAATATTCTTTCTTATTATTCTTTTTTTTCCACTCACACTGGCGGTTTCACTTTCTGGTCAACTTCCCCTCTGAAAAATCTTCTCATTTAGATTTACACGTTATTTTATTAAGTCATTAAAAAAAGGGGAAGCACAGCTCTCTAAACTGTAGGCTATTGTTGTGGTGAAGTTATGATTCTAGGATAAAACAAACTTTATATCACCCACTTAGTTTCACAGTGCAAAATGAGCAAATTCCCAAATCATGGAAAAAATGAACAAAAAATGAACTTTTTCAAATAAATGAATGTGGGAATTTGAACACAGTTGTTGTTTGTTGAGATAGGACACTTTTAAAGTTCTGTTTTGAACCTCCTTTTGCACTATCTGCTTTTTAAACATTGCTGTACATATATAAACAACACAACTTCAGAAGGTCAACAACTTTTTATATTCAGGTCTAATTAGAGATATTTTTCCTCAACTGTTTCTAGGTTCTTGTTTAAATTTCACATATATTTTTATCCCTGCACGGGTTATGTCTATTTTTAATTGCACAGTTTAAGTTTGATTCATCTAGGGGTATTCTTTAAATCTTTTTTCAGGTTAATATATATGTATGGGAGGGGGGCGTCGGTTTTGTGGTTTAATTTGTAACAAATGTTTCATGTCATGTACGTCTTTGTAACCTGATACTGGATGCTTTGAATTAATTATCAATAAAGTATCTATCTATCTATCCTGTTATTCATTGGCTGAATATCGGCGCTCCTACACCTGTGGTGCAGCCAAATCAAACGACAGAGGAGGAGACCCCCCCTCCCTGCCTCGACTTCTGGGCGGATCTTCACTCGTCTCCTCTCTGTTCACTACTTTCACCAGGCACTACTTCTCCGGCTGCGCACGTGGAAACACTAGATTAATGATTCCTTTCTGTGCGGTTATGTCGCGAGCTGCAGCGGCACGTTCCACTTCTTTTTCAGAGTTCTCGCGCGGGAGGAGGAACATTTTGTAGAGCAGCAGACGTGCTGAGAATGAGTCCCGCATAACTTGGGGTATTGTTGTTATCTACCCCCCCTCCTCTCCTTCCTCTCTTTTTCCCCCTTGTCTCTCCAGTTTGAGTCATTGCACAGAAGTATGGTAGATAAAGGCCCCTTGTTGACCTCTGCCATCATCTTTTACCTGTCCATTGGGGCAGCTATTTTTCAAGTTCTGGAGGAGCCCAATTGGAAGCGGGCTGCCGATCGGTATAATGAACAGAAGGATGAACTTCTTAAGGACTATCCGTGTCTGACGAAAGCTGATTTGGACAGAATATTAGAGGTATGAACACGTTTTTTTAAACTCAACATTTCTTAACCCCACTCTGAACTTCTTCAAACGTATCTCAGTGCACTGGAAGATGATTGGAAAGTGAATCTGCAGCGTTCATGTGTTGCACTGTTCTGCAGCTCTTCTCTCACTTATTTGTAAGAGGTTGTGACACATGAGGGCTTAATGAGCCTCAGCAGGTTTGGAAGCTTTCACCAAACACCAACAAAACCTCTGGTTAAACATCCATGGTTCATCTTCATGGGTCAACACACCAACACTTAATCGATCAGCCTATAGGCTTAAACTTTTAAAATATCAAAAAGGCAACCTGTCACACAGGCATTTATCTTTGAATTCCCTGAATTATCTTAAATTCCCTGGAAAGGTTCGTGGATTTTATCTGCTGTTATCTGTGGTGGGTCATTGTGTTGATAGTAGTGATGTTAATTATTTTATTACCATTTACAGGTAATGTTATGTAACTCTAACAGACTGTCTGGTTCAATGATAATGATACTGGTGTGTAAGGAGCCCAATCTGCAACCTCAGCCCTAACAGCTGCAGTACAAGGTGTTCCATTGACAATTTGTCATACAGAACAATTCTTTAACCGTAGTGAAGTTGGGCTGTTGACCTGTGGTTTTACCAGCAGCACTGAATGATCACATAGTAAGTCAACACTCCTGTGATGTCGCAGGTGTTTGCCCCATGACACGCTGTTCGTTCACATGCCCTGAAATGTGTAGACCTTTTATCCCTGATTCTTAGCGTTTGTTTGAGTGTGACGATGTCGGGCCCCGTTACATCTCAAATGTGTGTCAGGGGAGCAGAAAGAAGAGGCCCCTCACAGCCGTCGGCAATGATAAATCAAAAGTGGTTCATTTCTGTCAAGAGTTTTTGCTGGTTGCACTTGCAAAATATGAGCAGAAACATGTCTCAACCCATCCCCCCTTTTTTGGGCCCACATCAGTATTAGGGAGATTTATTATCCCCCTGACCCCCCCTCTAGGCCTCCTTCTGCTTTTTGTGTGTTGGGGGGCCTGAAAGGGATATGCCCCCTGAACCTCCCCCCCCATTCATGGCATCTCTTTAACGGCCAAATCCCTGCAGTGGCCTAATTTCCATCTCCCATGTTGTTGTGAATACTACTGTTGAAAGTGTTTTGCAGCTGCTGTTCAGTTTTGATTTTTGGATGAACTTTTGAGTTGAATCCTCCTGAATGAAACTGAAACATCTCCTGCGTGTGTGTGTGTGTGTGTACTCTCTGAAGGACAAAGATTTACATAAAGCCAGCTGAGGACACTCAAGACTCTTTCAACATGATTTAGAATCACATGTTTAACCTTTTCCACAGATACCACATAGGTTTAACTTTCCCGTTATCCTAGATATCTTCCATCATCATATCAATCAAGTGTATTTGTCACATGCAATCATAAGCATTATTCACATTATGCACAGAACTCCTGAAATGTTCGGGGTGAGCTGCATGTGTGAACGCAAACACTCTGACCTCATCTGGAGTATTATAGTAGAAGTTGTTTACTTTGATCCAGATTTACAATTTATCCCGACCTAAAAAATATCTTGGAAGTTTAATTTTCATTCAAAATAAAATACATCGAGGGAAATAGTAAAGCCTCGGCTTGAAGTCCGGGTTTGAGAACGCTGCAGGAAATACTGAGGAAAATTCACAGAGAGCAGGTGTGAGGAGGTGATGACGGGTATATCCTGCAACAAACTGGAGACTGGTGTGTGAACTCTGTTCTGCTTCATGATGTTTCCCTTTTTGCCAGAATGTTCTCTGCTGTTTCCTTGATTCGAATTTGTCAAACTACCTGTGATGATATTAAGCAGTGGTTCTAAACTGGTCTACAGGACCCACCACCAACTCCTTCATGAAAAATCACAACCCAAATTTCTGTTACTTTTTTAAACCAATCAGATTTATTTAATGAAACATTGTGCAGTTTGGACCTCTGACGACAGAAAACGGGACAGAGCAAATAAATCAAACAATTCACACACTTTTTGACACCATTTATTGGCGACCCATTTTTGGGGTCCTGACCCACCAGTTGAGAACATAACATAAAGGGAAAAACTGTAATCATGGCGTCAGACTCTGTTTCTTTGTTCGCTATTTCTGTGTTAGTTTTTTTTATGTAATTTGCTGCCTTCTGAGACGACTGACCCCCCCCCCCCATGTCTGTGTTCGCTGAGACACCTGCTGCAAAGACTTATGCAGTCCATATATTAAAACACATAAACAGTTAATATCGCCTTTTACTGCTTCATTCCAAAGGAGGAGATTTCTATCAGTTTTCCATTGTGAAACTTCTCTCTGCTTGTTAACAGTTCATATATATCAGTAGGCTTAACAAGAGAAGGCAACACTCTTGTAAACGTTAGTGCTCTCTGTTTCATTAACAAGGAGTTTACTATTAACTATAGGAGCCTTGAAGTGGTCACAGTTTACAGATTGGATTTTATGGTCCATCAACATTGGCTCTTGAGGCGCTTGTTATTAACAGGCACTGTGAGGAGAAGTGGCTGTGTGCACATTGTGTCTACACTGCAAATAAGAATGCATCGCTCCATGAGTAAGCAGTGTGCTTTGTGCCCTGTGGACATGGGCTGAAAGACAATGCTACATAAACTTTGCGGTTTAGCGCATTACTTTATGAACTCATTATTTATGTTCCTATGGCAAAAAAGGTTTGACCAAATAAACTAATCTATTGTTTCTGTTAAGTGACCACAGGACTTTTAAAACCTGATTCCTATTTCTGACATAGTTTGGAGTTGAAGTAAGTAAAAATAGCTTTATAATTATTGTGTTTGGCTTCAGCCAGCAGCTGCAAAACAAACTTCTTCTATGCATTCAGGCTCAGATGTTTTCATGACCGTTTTCTTTCACACCCGCATCTGAGAGGGAGATCATCCTGTACGTGTTAGACATGCTCTCAGAACTTAAAATCCTCGGTTTGGTTTAGGTGTGAAGGGTAGCTCCTGCAGCTCGTTTGGTGTAGATGAAGGGTAGCTCCTGCAGCTCGTTTGGTGTAGGTGAAGGGTAGCTCCTGCAGCTCGTTTGGTGTAGGTGAAGGGTAGCTCCTGCAGCTCGTTTGGTGTAGGTGAAGGGTAGCTCCTGCAGCTCGTTTGGTGTAGTGAAGGGTAGCTCCTGCAGCTCGTTTGGTGTAGGTGAAGGGTAGCTCCTGCAACTCGTTTGGTGTAGATGAAGGGTAGCTCCTGCAGCTCGTTTGGTGTAGGTGAAGGGTAGCTCCTGCAACTCGTTTGGTGTAGGTGAAGGGTAGCTCCTGCAGCTCGTTTGGTGTAGGTGTAGGTGAAGGGTAGCTCCTGCAGCTCGCTTGGTGTAGGTGAAGGGTAGCTTGTGCAGAAGGAGGAGGAGGTGGAGTCTTCAGGGGTGGTGACTGTTTCTGTGTTAATATCACTATTTTAAAGGAGGTTTACACACATCCATCTATCTCATGAAGTAGGTGTGTAGGACATCAAACTTGCATGTCTTTTCATGTGTGAATATCACTACAATATGTATAATGACATTTCTGCAATACAGAAGAAAACAATACAGACAACTGATACCCGCTGCATCACGTGTCCGCACATCTCACCTTTACACAGAATTTCTACCAGAGTTCTGGCAAAGAAAAGTCCAGGGACAGGTGGGGTGAGGAGAGTTGGTGGTTTCCTTCCTTCCTTGTTGATTATTATTATTATTATTATTATTATTATTATTACAAATGATAGTTTGTCTAACCAAAACCAGTTGTTAATGTCACTTTGTGAAAAAGACACCAGACTACAGTCATTTCAGTTATTTTGCCACAGAGAACACAGGAGCTGCTGGTCTGCCTCCTTGATCAGGAACTTTGTTTACTCTTTTATTTTCTTGAGCTCCAAGCTGACCCTTCCAAAAGCATCAATCACATGAGGGCACACACATTACTAAAAAAAAAAAGCTTTCACCGAGGCAGCTGTAGACCAGCAACTCCTGTGATCTGAAAAGGATTTCACCTTGACTACAAAGGGTGCATCTTTTGTAGGGATCCTTTCGTTTATGTTGTTAACACAAAAATTTTCAATTCTTTTAAGGCAACTAATAACATTTGTGGTCACTTTGTTTGCCAGTTACCCTCTCTGTTGATCAATTAATTGTTTAAAAGTATGCGTAAAAATGTTATTCACATTTCCTTAAAAACCCTTTGTCTTTCTAGATTTGTGTTAAATTTGTCTGACTAAGCATCAAACCTCCTTCCTGTTCTAAATAATAAAATGGATCAGATAATACTCACATCTGATAAGCCACCCCAGTTTCATGGAAACCAGTTATTAATTATGGAAACGGTTGCTGATTAATTTCCTCTCAATCTACTTCCTCTTGCAAGATATAATAAAAAGCATAAATAATAGTTAACATTAAGTGAGCGCAGCTTCTTTGATCCATTCATCTGTATGCATACTAAAGTGTTAAACTCTTTACAAAATGCATATTATTATGTGTCCTGTGTCACTGGACAAACTGGTGTTAGTAAACATTATGATTGAACTCCAACAAGCCAACATATGGGATAGTTTCCACCTGAGGGAACATTTCAGAGGTGGTTAAGATATTTGACCAATGAGGCGCTGGCTTCTTTTCTCTCAGTTCAGACATTTAGGGTTAAAAATGACCTGCAGTTTGTAAATCAGTGACTGAATATGCAAACTTTAGATGCGCCTTTCTTCGGTCAAAACGAGATTCTGACGTGTTGCCTCTTGACTTGGGAGTGGAGCATTGGGTTACTCGACTTCACTCTCAGCCTGATAGTCCTGCTACACATGACTTCAGCATCACGTTTGTGTGGTCTGATAAGACTTTTCAGAAATCGGCTCAACAGACTGCTGTCACATGCGTGAAGTGAAATATGGCCTCTGGTTGGGATAAAAAAGCCCGGCTGAATAAAGTGGAACTCTGTTTTCAGATAGTTAACTGTGTCATGTGCCCTGGG